TTTTATCTTTGATTCTACTATGTCTCTCTCTTCTCAGATTAATTGTGTTGCTAGAAGCTCTTACTNTCATCTACGTAGAATAAAAAAACTTTTGCCTTTTCTTGATGATCCTACTCTTCTCCTTCTTGTTACTTCGTTAGTCTTATCTAGGATTGATTATTGTAACTCGCTCTACTATGGTCTTCCTGACTCTATACTCTATCCTTTAAGTAAAGCTTTTAACTCTGCTGCTCGTCTAGTTGCTCGTGCCCCTTTCTTTTCTCATATATCTCCATATCTTGTTCTCTTGCACTGGCTACCTATAAAATATAGAATAATTTTTAAAATTTGCACGTTCATGTATAAGTCTCAATCTAAATTATTTCCTAAGTACTTATCAGATATATTAATTGAACCTAAACGCCCCGGTTTACGATCGTCTTCTTCTTCTCGCTTTTTCTTAACTCGTGTTAAACACTCTTTTGCCAAATCTGCTTTTGCTTTTTCTGGTCCTTTTCTCTGGAACTCTCTACCTACTTCTCTAACTATTTCTCCATCACTTGCGAAGTTCAGAGCGGATCTCAAGACCCATCTGTTTTCAAAATTCATTGAGGAGCGCTGTTGAACATCGCGGAAATAGCGCTTTATAAGCTAATTGATTGATTGAATTGATTGATTGATTGATGTTAAGTCGTACCTGAGTTTTTGTACTATGGATCTTTCTGTTGGATTTAAAGAATATATTTGTGTTCAATTATCGGGATATACAGAAGATCTAAATTTTTTTTTGGTTTACAGAAGTCCTAATTCTGATCTCAATAACAATAGTAACTTACTTGTTCTATTGAAAAAGTTTTCGAAAATTAAGGGACTAAAAATTTACGTGGGTGATTTTTATTTACCTAATATTGGCTGGGACTTAGTTTCAACACCAGGAGGTGTTAGGAGCATGGAATCTAGGTTTTTGAATTGTGTAAGGGATCTGTATTAACATCAGCTGGTTTCTAAAGCTACTAGGTTTCGTACTTCACAAAAATTCAATATATTTGACTTGTTTCTGGTTCATGACAAGGATGTGGTTGCCAACATCGATTATAACTCCCCAATTGGGAATAGCGATCATATTGTTCTGGTCTTCATATTGAGACATACTTGGAATTTAGTTAAAAAACGTGCCAAGCAAAAATATAATTTTAACAAAGGTGAGTATGATAAGATGAGAGTTTACGTCAGAACTGAATTAAGTAAAGAAATGTGTGTATTTAAACAAGTTTATAATGTTGTGAAACTCAATGAAGCCTGGAGGTACTTCTGTACTGTACTGAACGATGCTACAAATAAATTTATTCCTTTAATTGATGTTGGGTGTCACAATAATGGATTTGCATTAAAATTTCCCAGAAACCTAATAAATCTGATTCAATATAACAATAGATTATGGAAAAAATATGTCATTCTAAAAGTTGTTAAATCTTTAATGAATATAAAAAAACAAAATCTGATATTAAAAAAATATTTTTCAATTTAATACTAATTTTATGATTAATTTTTCAAGAAAAATAAAAGACAATCCAAAAGTTTTCTGGCAGCACATTAATAAAACCAGAAAAAATAAAGGGGATATTGATGTCCTTCATAAGTTGGATGGTCAGGGCAAGGTTTTGAATGTTTATGATGACACTGAAAAGGCTAATTTATTTGGGCAAAACTTTTATAGTGTATTCAATTTATCTGGGAATGATGTTAATGATACTAATATGGGTAATAGGTATTTTATTGATACTTCATCGGTGGACGATATAACTGTTACAGTTAAGGAAGTTTTATCTAAACTTAAAAAAATTAATAAGTATAAATCAGCTGGGCCAGACAAATTATTCAACAGAGTATTATATGAATGTAGTGAAGAGATTGCACATTTTTTATGTAGCTTATTTAATATGTCATTAATATCTCATTAATGACATATTAAATCTCTCTAATATTTCATTAATAAGACCAATATCTCTTTGTTGTTTGTTGTAAGGTGATGGAAACATTGGTCAAAGATAATCTTATGTCTCATTTTATTAGCAATAATTTATTTGATTTTAGACAGTTTGGGTTTATGCCACATAAATCAGCGGCGATGCAGTTGCTAAAAATGGTAGATGACTGGAGTGTTGCGATTGATGAAGGCAAGGAAATTAATGTGATTTATACAGACTTTGAAAAAGCATTCAATAAAGTTCCTCATCACAAGTTAATTAAAAAGTTATGCGAATATGGTGTGAATGGGATTGTGGTGGATTGAATTTCTGATTATCTTAGTGGTAGAAAATTTGCAGTGTGTGTGAATTGAAGTCTGTCTGATAATTTTAAAGTGATTAGTGGGGTTCCACAGGGCAGTGTGTTGGGACCAATTTTGTTTGTTATTTATGTGAATGATATTTGTTATTTATGTAAGAATGATTCTAATGTTGGGATGTATCTATATGCTGATGACGCTAAATTGTTCAAGTGTATCTCTTCTAATGATGATATGGAGGCCCTTCAGGCATGTCTGGATTTTTTTATGGGTGGTGTGTAAAATGGGAGCTTGGGGTGAATGTGGATAAATGGGTCGTTGAACGGATTCAGAAGAGGGCCACAAGAATGGTGAAAGATTGTATTGGACTCTATTATGAGCAGAGATTAAGACTCCTCGATCTTCCCACACTGAGGTATTGACGAATCAGAGTTGATCTTATCACAGTTTTCAACATAACTAGAAACAGCGTATTATCATCGTGTTATTCTGTGTTAAAAAAAACCTAAAGATGATCACACCAGGGGTCATCCGTTCAAGTTGTCTACTCATAGTTTTAACACGAATCATAGGAAATTTTGTTTTTCCAATAGGGTGGTTGAGTTATGGAACGGCTTGGATGCGGACATTGTGATGGCTAAAGATGTTGAAACATTTAAAATGAAGTTGGATCGACATATGAATTCTACGGACATGATGTTCAACTGGAGATCCTCGCTTGGTAAATGTCATAGTTTATATATTTATATTATCTTTGACATCTTTGTGGTTAATGTGTGTGTGTGGGCTGATGCGTGTGTGAGTGTGTGTATATATGTGTATGTATGTACAAATATATATATATGTATATATAGACATTTATCATTAACAATCTTTATTTTCATCCAACTGTATTTTATTTTACTTTATTTATTTATTTTATTATTTTTAAAATACAATGGAAGCTTTTCATTTGCTGGAGGCATAGGAACGTCAGTTCGCGCCTCTCTATTTTCTGTTTATGTTATGTTTATGTTATGTTATATAAAGTTAGCTAGGTAAAATAATTGTGGAGAGTTGGTGTCAAGAAATAATCAACCAGTCAACTTTAATAATTACTGAGACAGATATAATATAATTATAATAATTATAATGTGAAGTTTGTTTGGCATGCGTATATGAATAAATGTTTCATGTGCGTGTGTTTTGCTTGGCGCGCTTGTCGTATGAAGTTGTCTGGTATGAATGCTGGTGGAATGTTATGTGAATTGGTTTTGTATGAATACTGGTGGAATGTTATGTGAATTGGTTTTGTATGCATACTAGTGGAATGTTATGTGATATGGTTTTGTATGAATGCTGGTGGAATGTTATGTGTATTTGTTTTGTATGAATGCTGGTAAAATGTTATGTGAATTTGTTTATGTGAATAGTTTTGCGCGAGTATAGTGCGTATATATGAGAGTGAATGGTTGCTCAGGTAAATTAATATATAGGTGTTTTGGACAATTGTTTTGTTTAGTTTTCGGTGTAGTTTTCTGTTTAGTTTTAGAGTTTGTGAGATTGTCTGTTGGTAAGTTGGTTAGTGTTTGGTTTTGGTCGTTTTGGTAATTGTTGATATTTTGAACAGTTTATTTTTTTAAAATTTCGTTACTGTTGTTCTGTTGCTGCTTTGAATTTATTTTAGAATATTCAGTTTTAGTATAATTTGTCTGCCTTGTCGTGAAAGGTGAAAATGTTATTCAACTTTTTGGACAAATTTCAGAGCTGTTACTACCAGAATGCCGAAAATATGTCTCAAGATAACGCAGATGACATGGGGTAGGGTTAGTCCAAAATTGTCCAAAACACCTATATATTAATTCACCTGAGCAACCATTCACTCTCATATATACGCACCAACAAAATAATAAATATGAGAATCTAAACCTGATGATGTCCAGTATTGATTATAAAATAAATTTTGAGTCTTTAGATTTTTGATTTAAGGTCGTTTTTCAAAAATTGTCAATGAAATTTTATCAAATTTAAAATAGTTCCACTGTCACCACTATGACTAAAGAATTTTTTTATTACGTTGGGTCAATGGTCGTGCATATTATATTATAAAAGATTGATTTTGTTTCCAATGAAATTTTTGAAAAAATTTCATTTCTCATTTGATTTTCAAAACAAAAAGTTAAAACATTAAGATTAGCGAAGGAATTGACTGCTTTTAACCAAATTGCTTCTAATGTATAATTCTTAACAATACATTAGCTACTTTTATTAACATTAACAATCAGATGGTTTTGAAAATTTCATAGTTTCAATTTTAAACTAATTTTCTGTTTAAAAAACGCAACTTATCATCACTAATAACAGGCATTGGAATCTGCATTCACTAACAAATATTGCGTCACACGTTTCATTTTATCTATAGAATCAAATCACATTAAATGCACTATTGACTGATTCTTATTACTACTCAATCATATTTGAAAAAGTAATTGAAGCATTTGATTTTTCTACAAAACCAAAAATTCTGGAGTAACAAACAAGCACCTTTCAAATTTTTACAAATACTTAATTTTTGTTATTTATCAATATATGTTTATAATACATTTATATTTATGTGTTGTTCCTACATGTAAACAATTAAGTGAAGATGAAACAATAAATTCTAGTAACAGGACTAATTTTATAATAGTTAATAATTTATTTTTTTTATTAGGTTCTAAAAAATATTAAAAATCTTTTAAACACTTGTTAATTAAAAGGTATTAATGAACATTTTTTAGCATAAAAAAGTCATCAATAACGAAATGAGTATTGATTAATATAAATTTTTGTTTAGATAGAAATATTGAACTATGAATCAGATTTATTGAAAATCATGTGGTAGTGACATTTGAAACCATTGTTAGCATGTAGCTTAAGTATTTGAAATTGAAACCTTCTAAAATAATGTTCACTTCTCGATCTAAATTAATGGTTTTAAAGACTGCAACTTCTTTCCTGCATATTGGACAAGATGAATTTTTTTCAAACAAAAAATAGGATCACTTGAAATGGAAGATATGAGCGCATGACAACTCGTGCACCATCATACTTTCTTCAAATTTCTCGTTGCATAATGCGCACTCATCGTGCAGAAATATACCACAAAAGTACGGTACTTTGAGATTTCTGCTGGCTGCCATGCTCTCATAAAATGAGTCGTTGTGATTTATTGTCCCATACAAAATTAAATATCTCCCTCACCTATAAACATATATTTATGACACTCTGAATTGATGTATAATGCATCATCCTGATTTTTATTAATAAAATCATATGTTTTATTATATTTCTATTCGAAACGTATTCATAGTAAAATAGTTGCATATCCTTGAACATTTGATATTGGGTGAGGCTTGGTGTATACCGGATATTTTTCCAGCAAAGATTTTCAATGTGTTGATCGTTCAACATAGAAACGTTCCTCGCAAATAAATTTTGTGTTTGTCAAGGAGATATTTGTACTTGAAATGTTCCAAATCTAATGGAAATGTTCGATACTGATTGGTGATCTCATCTCGTTCAAAATCTTTTAAATATTAATAAGTTTGAACGTTCAATTGTTTTTTAGAGTTCATAATGGAAGGATATTCAAGCACAAACGTATCGGCGCCATTTGGGTGGCTAGCATATCCGAGCCCTTCCAACTGTGCTCCAGCACTAACGAAAATAAATACGGCACTAACCAGTACTAACCAGCAGTAACTCCACACCTAATTTCAGTTTCAATTTTTCAAGTTAGGGGCTGGCGAAATGCACTATCGTTTTATTTTCACTGAACTTGATTTTCTCCAAAACGCATTATAAAAAACATCAAACTAACCGTTTTCTTTTTTTAAATGTTT